ATGTTTAGCGGCAGCAGAGCGTCCGGGGAAACCGGTTCAGAGTCCAAAACCAGCGGCGTGCTGCCTGTGGGCCCGGCTTCAGGCCGTGTTTCAAACGTGCGGAGCCCAGAAGGGCAGCTGAGCCTCCGCCTCTCACCGGGGGGACCTGGTGCCCGCACCCCCGAGACAGGCCCTCCCGTCTGCGGTCTCAGGAGGGGAACTCATTTCCAAACAGGGTGTTTGCAGACGTGAGTAAGTGAAGGATATGAGGTGAGGTCATTCTGGATCCTGGGGGGTGGGGGGTGGCCCTGAATCCAATGACACTGTCCTTGTAAGAGACGGAGGAGGAGACGCAGACACAGGGGAGAAGACGCGTGAAGACGGAGGCAGAGACGGGGGGACGCGGCCACGAGCCCGGGGACCCTGGGGCCCCAGGAGCTGGGAGAGGCGGGAAGGACCCTCCCCTGGGGCCTCAGGAGGGAGCACAGCCCCGCCCCCGGCATCTCAGGGGTCGCGCCCCTCCTTGATCTCAGGGGTCCTGCCCCCCCTGGGTCTGAGGGGTCCTGCCCCCCGAACCTGACTGGTCTCCAGAGCTGGGACAGGTCGTTCCTTTGGTTTTAGAGCACCGGGCGTGGGGTCCCTGGTTAGGCAGCCGTGGAAGGTAATGAGACCCCAGACAAAGCACAAAACGGGTCATCACGGCTGCAGATGAGGCAGCACCTGGTTTGGGGCAGCTCCATCGCCGATGGCCGGGGGGCGGGGGGTGCAGGCTCTTTCAGGGCGGGGCGCACAGCAGGGACAGATGGACCGAGCGGAGAGCTGGCCACGGCCCTGAGGCTCTGCCGTCCCCTTAATCAGGCTGATGAGATTGTCCAGACTGATCCGGCTTTGGCTCACCCCGGGCCTCCTGTGAGCAGCTCCTGCAGCAGCACAGAGTGGCCGCCCCACCCCTGCCCCCGGCTTGCTCACAGACCCGTGCCCCCCCTCAGCTGGCACAACCGGGGACCGGGGTCTGGACGTGGGACGAACATGAGCTCCCCGGAGGAGGCGGCATACAGGCTCCTGACCGAGTACACAAATGGGTTCATGGTGTCCCAGGTAGGCATGCTGGGACCCCGCTGGGGGGAGCTGTGTGCGTGCAATGGGCAGGGGGCCTTCCTCGGGGGTGTGTGTGTGCAATGTCTGGGGCTACGGGCAGGTGTGTGGACCACGAAATCCCTCCTGCCTCCCCATCCTTCTGAGAGTGCGTCCCGGGAAGCTCACCGCGGCCCCTTGTTCCCGAGGTTCTGTTTGCCGCCTGTGAGCTGGGCGTGTTCGACCTTCTGTCCGAGGCCCCGGAGCCCCTGGGCTCGGCGGCGGTGGCTGCGCATCTGGGCACCTGTCCCCGTGGGACGCAGCTGCTGCTGGACACCTGTGTGTCCCTGAAGCTGCTTCAGGTGCAGACGAGGGGAGGAGAAGGTGAGCCCGCTTGGCATTTTCAATATGCACACGGCACGCGTTTCCCGTGCGGGGCAGAGAATGAGTGGTTCCAGCGCGGGGGCCATTCCTCTGCAGCAGCCGAGGGCCCTCACAGCAGCCGGAGGCTTTATGGGAAAGAACGGGCCTGTCTGGGTGTCAATAAAACTTTATTTACAAACACAAACAGTGGGCCACGTTTAGTGCGCGGGCTGTAGTTTGCTGACCGCATTCTGGGGGTGGGGGTGGTCCGCGTGCCGGTGTGGACATGGGTGCCCTCACAAAGTACCCAGTGAGCAAGCGACAAATGATGGGAAAACCTCAAGGGAGTAACTGTCAATGGAACGAAATCTATCCACTTAAAGCGTTTCCATTCGTTATGACGTGACGTCCCTACTCTGGTGTTGAAGTGGCTTTTCTTTTATGAAATATGACGGTGCGTTTTATTTTCCTTTTAATGTCCTCACTTGCAAAAATTCAAAATTCCAACCGCACGTTGCTCATTCTGACCATTTTCCGGACGGCAGATTTGCGAAGTCGGTCACGTAAACGCGGGGTGCCCAGGGCACCAAGGACGGAGGCTGAGGCATGGGACTGGCCGTTTGCAGACGTGCAGGGAGGGGTAGCTCACAGCCAGGCCTCGTCCCAGAGCTGCAGCGTGGGCTCCGGACACGGGAATCCAAACCATTCTCTGTGTTCCTTTGCAGCTGTGTATCGAAACACAGAGCTGTCCAGCACCTACCTGGTCCGGGCCAGTCCCAAGTGCCAGGGCAACATGGTGCTCTACCTGGCCAGGACGACGTACCTGTGCTGGGGCCACCTGGCCCAGGCCGTGAGGTGGGCGAGGTGTCGACGGCGTGGACGGGGCCCCGGGGCTCCCCAGAGACCACTTGCAGGGCCTCTGAATCCAACACAACCCTGCTGGGTCTGGGGTCCAGAACAGACGTGAGAACCCCCCTGGTTCCGGCCCGTGTAATGCACGTCATGCTAATCCGTCCTGATAACAAGCCCTTGGCCTTCAGTGGGGCCCAGGGACAGGCCCTCGGCAAAGCGGGGAAGGGGACTCACGATAAGAGTCTGCCCGGGTCATGATGGTTCAGGCTGGACCAGACTCTGAGGTGGGGCGTCCTGGGCCGTGCGGGGAGTTGAGCAGCCGCCCTGGTCTCCTCCCACACGTGCTGCTATGATGTCTCCAATCGTGATGATACAAACATGTCCCCAGACATTTCAAGTGCCTCGTGGGGGCAGAATCATCTGCAAGTGGGAACCGCTGACATAGATGGAGAGACAGATGGGTGGGTAGGTACATAGATAATAGATATATGGATGGGTGGATGGATGGATGCATGGATAGCTAGATAGATCAATATGATAGATGATGGATAGATGTAGGGATGGATACGTAGGTAGTTAGGTAGGTAGGTAGGTAGGTAGGTAGATAGATAGATAGATAGATAGATAGATAGATAGATAGATATGATGGGTGAATGGATAGATGACAGATAAATATGATGAATGGGTGGATAGATAGATGCATAGATCCATAGATACAATGGATAGATGGGTAGATGGATGGATGGATAGATAGATTAGATAGATAGATAGATAGATAGATAGATAGATAGATAGATAGATAGGATAGATGGATGGATGGGTGGTTGGATGGATGGATGGATGATGGATGGAAGGAAAGATAGATGATAGACAGATAGATACATACATACATAGATGATAGATATGATGGATGAATCGATAGATGATAGATAAATATGATGAATGGGTGGATAGATAGATGCATAGATCCATAGATACAATGGATGGATGGGTAGATGGATGGATGGATACATAGATAGATAGATAGATAGATAGATAGATAGATAGATAGATAGATAGGATGGATGGATAGATGGATGGATGGGTGGTTGGATGGATGGATGGATGATGGATGGAAGGAAAGATAGATGGATAGATAGATATGATGGATGAATGGATAGATGATAGATAACTATGATGGATGGTGGATAGATGATAGATAGATAATGGATGGATCCGGAGGTAGATAGATCAATAAAAGATGGATATTGATAGATAAGTATAGATAGATATTGATAGATATTAACACACAGATATTGATAGATGGATACAGATACATGACAGACACTGATAGGCATTGGTAGGAGCACAGAAAGGCGCCTTTGTCCCCAGATGGTGGCCGACAAGTCCTCTGGACTCAGCCTGCCCAGCTGCATGTCATTCCCCCGCCCTTTGCAGGGTCGCCAGATCCTGTCGTTCGTCGCTCTCATGGCAGAGCCGGGCCACACGTGCGCCCTGCAGCTCCGAACACACATGTCTTCCACAGCAGAAGGGGGCCGTGCCCGTGTCTGCTCACAGAGTCCTGTCCCCTGTGTGATGTCTCTGCGACGGGCGGTGGGATGTGCCACCCGCCGTGCGCACCCGCTGGCGTCCCCGATGCGGTCAGGTCCCTAGTGACCGCGTCCTTTCTGTCTGCAGGGACGGCAAGAATCAGTACCGGAAGGCCTTCGGGGTGCCCTCAGACGATCTCTTCACCGCCATCTACAGGTAACCCACAGGCCGCCGCTTAGGGCATGAGGTCCCCGCAGGGCGGGATCCGGGTCCAAACAGAGCAAAAGAGAAGAAAGCCCATATTCCAGTGAAAACAAAACAACACACAAAAAAGTAGCCGACTTTGCGGTTGTGATTCTGTGCTGGTGAGTTTCCGGAGAGGTGGGAATCCGTCCCTGCCGTCGAGGGTCTCGCCGCCCAGCGCCAGGGAGGTGCGAGGATGAGGCACGCTCTTCGCTTGGGCCAGACTTACCCAGGCCGTGGGTCGGCTCCAGGCTGAACACGGGGTCGGTGTGGCCGTGGCCTGTGGTGTCAAAGTGCTGAGCTGGGCACGGCCGGGTGGCTGTTTCTGGGCTTCCCAGTTGGCCAAGGGGCGGGAAGGGAGGATGGGCCGGGGCTGTGGCTCCCGTCCCCTCCTGTGCTTCCCAGCCGGGTCTTCTACCCAGTGTCCCCCTGATCCCACTGTCTGGGGCCACTACCCAAGGCCACGTGTACCCGGTGACCTCCCTCAAAGCTCCCCGAATTCAAACTAGCACAGCCCCTATTCCGGTGGCAATGGACGCCCGTGGTGGCTTCAGGTGCCCCCCGGGCGGGCTTTCTGGGCACCCGAGCCCGGACTTCTGACATCACGCATCGTGTCTGTACGTGCGCACATGGATGCCCGCACGCGCGCCTTGGCGGCGAGCCCGTGGCCCCCGGCTGCTTGCTCAGTGCGCTGACTGGGTGCCCGAGCTGGGCGCGCAGGCTGTGGCCTGACCTTGACGAGCCGGTTTCCGTGCAGATCGGAGGGCGAGCGTGTGCTGTTCATGCGGGGTCTGCAGGACGTCTGGAGCGTCAGCGGGGGACCGGTCCTGGAGGCCTTCGACCTGTCCGCCTTCCGGCTCATCTGCGACGTGGGCGGTGAGCGGGGGGCGGGGCGGGGTGCGTGGGAGCCGCGTGCAATGCCTGCGAGGCAGCGAGGGGAGACCGTGGGGACCCCCTTCAGGGTCCGGGAGAAAGTGTCCCGTCCACCTGTGGGGGAGGCCGGCTCCTCCCCGAGCACGACCTGCGCTCTGTGCTTCGGACCCGGGGCATCTGGGCGCGGCCGAGAACCCGTGCGCACCGGGATGCCCATCCCGCCCCTGCACCCGGCACGCACGTGCGCACGCTGTGCTCGCTCCGTGCGACGAGGGTGCAGCGGAAACACGCTCTGGGTCCTGGGGTCCAGCGAGGTTCCTGGGGCCCCGGGGTCCTGATGCGGATGCGGATGCGAAGGATGCCCGTGTCCTGAGCGTGTCCCCTCCGAGCCGCGGGGCGGGGCGGATCCTAAAACGCTCAGGGGTGGTGTGCGTCATGCACGTCCTCAGGGCAGGACGTGGGGCTCCGGGGAGGGACGGGTGTGGGCACCGAGGGTGACCCTGCCTGCCCTTTACGCAGACGCTCTTGCCTCGACCCCTGGGCGCTGCGTTGGTGGATGAGCCCCCGTGAGATGCGGACTCAGGGGCTCACGACACCGTGTGTGCCACGGGCACGTTCTGGGCTGATGCCAGGCCCCCGGTGACCCGCCCGACCGGCCGCGGTGCATCCCAGGGACGACCAGGAGGCTCGGTGCTTCGGCCGAGCTGCCGGATTCGGTCAGACGGCATCAAGGGGCCGCTGGGGATCCGCGGTGCTCAGACCCGCAGGGCGCCCTGATGGGGAAAGCTGATGCGGTTCGTTCAGAAGTGGCCTCTGAGCCTGGTCGCTGTGTGACTCTGGGCAGGCTCTGGGGTCTCTGTGCGCTCAATCCTCCGGGGACGGGGCGGTCGCTGCGCGGGCTGCTCGTGGGGCCCCAGGGCGCGTCTGCGTGTGAGTCACGTAGGACGCGGCCTTGAAGGGCGCTGCGCGGAAGGAGTGGCTCCGGCAAGGTCACGGTCAGCCCAGCTGGGGGCCCGTAGCTGCAGGGGTTCGTAGGTGACCTGGGGCCGTGAACGCGGGGGGCTGAGGCTGTCTGTCCCCTGACACGCTCCGCGCCCCTTGCAGGCGGCTCCGGGGCGCTGGCCAAGCAGTGCGCCGCGCGGTACCCTCGGTGTCGGGTCACCGTCTTCGACACGCCCGACGTCGTCCGGACGGCCAAGGAGCACTTCCCGATCCCGGAGGAAGAGGAGCGCATCAGCTTCTGCGAAGGTGTGTGTGCGTGCTGTGCGCGGGCACGGGGAGACGGGGACGCGCCACAGGGGCTCAGGACCGCAGACGTGCGCGTGCACGGGAGACAGGGACGCGCCGCCAGGGAGCTCAGGACAGCAGATGTGCGCGCGCGTGCACGGGAGACAGGGACGCGCCCCAGGACAGCAGATGTGCGCGTGCACGGGAGACAGGGAAGCGCTCCCAGGGGACTTGGGACAGCACACGTGTGCGTGCACGGGAGACGGGAACGCGCCCCAGGTGGCTCACGATGGCGGACGCGCGCGTGCACAGGAGACGGGGATGCGCCCCAGGGGCTCAGGGAGGCTGTCGTGAGCGCGCATGGGGGAGACGGGACGCGTCCCCGGGTGGCTGAGGACAGGCGATGACAGATGTCCGCATGGCTTCCTCCACCCTGCGAGCAACCGCCCCAACTTAGAATCGTGTTGGTGACGGATGGAAAACTGAACAGCTGTCCCGTGTTGTTACAGTGAGTTCCTCTTGGAGAAGAACTGCACTTTGAGGATTCGGGGCGTTTCCCCAAAATTTGTGTCCACCTAGAATTTGGACAGCACAGGGCTGTCCAAGGTTTCTTCCAAAATCGCTAGCTCTTTTTTTTTTTTAATGTTTTATTTCTGAGAGAGAGAGACGGCGTGAGCAGGGGAGGGTCAGAGAGAGAGGGAGACACAGAATCTGAAGCAGCTCCAGGCTCTGAGCCGTCAGCACAGAGCCCGACGCGGGGCTCGAACCCACAAACGTGAGATCATGACCTGAGCCGAAGTCGGAGGCTCAACCGACTGAGCCCCCCAGGCGCCCCTGACATCAGTGCTTTCGGAGCTGTGAGCTGTGACCTCAGGGAAGCAGATGCAAATAAACCCGTGTTCCAGATCTGAAGGACGGGGAGGGGCCCCACACACCGTTCCAGAATGTTCTCCCCTTGGCTGACACTCCTGTGTATCAGCGCTGGGCTGTCGGGTCCCCGCTGGGAAGAGCTGGGGCGCCGGTTTGCTCCCCGGGGACCGAGCTGCAGGCTGAGCCCAGGCCACCTGCGTGTGTCGTAGGCGATTTCTTCACAGATCCCCTCCCGGAAGCCGATCTTTACATCCTGGCGCGCGTCCTGCACGACTGGAGCGATGAGCGCTGCTCACACCTGCTGACGCGCATCCAGCGCGCGTGCAGGCCAGGTGGGTCCCGGGGCCGCGCGCGCGCACCTGGATGGAGCCCGCTCAGGGCGCCGCGGCTCCGGGGCCCCATTCGCATTAAGTAGTGCAGACCAGGCGGCGCGGACACCCGCTGCGTCACGATCCCCAGTTCAGCACGCAGGACGTCCAAGGCGCTCGGGGTGCGCGCGGACCCTGGGTGGACCCCCGTGCGGCCGGGCAGGGGTGGGGGTTGCATTGCGCACACGGTCTTCTCCTCCCGGGGGCGCGCCTGGCTGGTGCCCAGGGGGCCTCAGGGCTGGACCCCGATGCGGGCGTAAGGGCAGCAGAGCGTCAGGAGCGTCCGAGGGGCTGGGGGCTTGGACAGCAGGCTGGGGGGCGCGCGGGGCCCTCGGGCCGGCGCGTCCCTCGCTCAGGCCGCCCGTCCGTGCGGCAGGCGGCGGGGTCCTGGTGATTGAAAGCCTCCTGGACGCAGACGGGCGCGGCCCCCTGACCACGCAGCTCTACTCGCTGAACATGCTGGTGCAGACGGAGGGCCGGGAGAGGACCCCCGCCCAGTACGCCGCGCTCCTGGCGCCCGCGGGCTTCCGGGCCGTGCAGTGCAGGGCGACCGGCGGCCTCTACGACGCCATCCTCGCCAGGAGGTAGCTCCGGGCCGTCTGCAGCGGTGCCCGGGCCCGCGCCCCCACGCACGGGTGAACCCCTCAGCTTGCTCGTTTCGGGGGCCTGACAAGGGAGTGGGGCTGCACTGTGGTTGGCTGCCTGTCAGACTGTAGGTTTTGTCTTGTTCTGTTGTAGTCTGTGCCATTCTGTTCTATGTTATTCGATTCTCTTCTGCCCTGTTCTGTTTTACTCTATCCTGGTCTATTCTACTCTATTCTGTTCTTTCTATTCTATTCTATTCTATTCTATTCTATTCTATTCTATTCTATTCTATTCTATTATTTCTATTCTATTCTATTCTTTCTATTCTATTCATTCTATTCTATCCCATATTATTCTATTCTGTTCGATTCAATTCAATTCTAGTCTGGTCTAGTCTATTCAATTCAATTCAATTCTGTTCTGTTCTATTCTATTCTATTGTATTCTATCCTGTTCTGTTTTATTCTGTTCTATCTCATATTCTATTCTGTTCAATTCAATTCAATTCAATTCTAGTCTATTCAATTCTGTTCTATTCTATTTTATTCTATTCTATTCTATTCTATTCTATCCTGTTCTGTTTTATTCTGTTCTATTGTATTCTATTCTATTCTATTCTATCCCATATTATTCTATTCTGTTCAATTCAACTCTAGTCTAGTCTATTCAATTCAATTCTATTCTGTTCAGTTCAATTCAATTCAATTCAATTCCATTCTTTCTATTCGATTCTGTTCTCCTGTTCTGTTTTATTCTGTTCTATCCCATATTATTCTATTCTGTTCAGTTCAGTTCAATTCAATTCAATTCAATTCAATTCTAGTCTAGTCTATTCAATTCAATTCTATTCTGTTCTATTCTATTCTGTTTAATTCTGTTCTATCACATATTATTCTGTTCGATTCAATTCTTTCTATTCTGTTTTATTCTGTTTTATTCTGTTTTATTCTGTTCTATCCCATATTATTCTATTCTATTCTATTCTATTCTATTCTATTCTATTCTATTCTATTCTATTCTATTCTATTCTATTCCATTGTATTCCATTCCAGTCCATTCCATTCCAACCTGTTCTATTCTATTCGAGTTCTATCCTATTCTGTCATATCCTAGCCTCTATTCTGGTCTATGATTCTATTCTATTTTCTCTCCCCTCCCATCCTGTTGCATTTCCAGCTTTCTGACACTACAATTGACAAAATTATACATGTTTCAGCTGCACAACATGATAATGTGATGCACACACATGTTGTGAACTGACAACCAGAACTGAGGTGATTCCATGCAGCCTCAGCCTCACATGGTTACATTTTGTTTGTGTCCCTGGGAACGTTTCAGATCTGCTCTCTCAGCAATTTTCAAGTATACGATACAGTCTGGTTCACTGTCATCTCCACGCTGAACAGGAAGCCCCCAGGACTCATTCCACTCATCCCCGGGCCTTCGTGGCCTGTGACCCCCATGTCCCCATTTCCCCCCAACCGGTCAGCTCCTGACAGCCAGCCTCTGCTCTCTGCTTGTGTGAGCCCCACCTTACACGTGTCGGGTGCATGTCACAGGCTGCACGTCGGGCACTTTGCACCTTATTTCCCCTTCACACATGTCACAGCCGCCCCCCCACCCCGATACCTGAAAGCCACAACTCTGTTCTCTGATTCGATGATGACCTTGGCTCTTGGCTTGTTTTCTTTTAGATTCCACGGAGAAGTGGGGCCATATGGTATTTGTCTTTCTCTGTCTGACTTATTTCCCTTAGCATAATCATGGCAATTTATTTCAATTTTTCTCTTGGTTTATTTTAATTTTTCTCGGTGTGGCGAAACAGAGCATGAAATTCCCCATTTCAGCCTTTTTTGTTGCACGGAACATATTCACATTGCTGTCCAGGGAGACCCACCATTTGTGTCCAGAACTTTCTCATCTTCAAACTGAAGCTCTGTCCCCGTGAAACATTAACTCTCCGTCCCATCCCAGCCCCTACCCCCAGCTTACGTTCTGTGTCTATAAAGTCACCTGTGCTAGATTAAACTGCAGTATTTTAATAGTGGGTGTGTGTGTCTCTGTGTGTGTTTTCCCCAAATTGTCACCTGTTCAGCACCAGGTACACGGTCTTCTGCCCTGAATCGGGGTGCTGAGTGGCCCAAAGTAATTCCCGGCCCACAGACTGACCGGTGCTCTGGGATTTAGGGAACGAAGACCCGTGACTTCCGGGTGGCCCGCTCAAGTGCCCCGTCTGCTTAAAGCCACAGTTGTTCCCGGCTGAGGCCAGGCCTGGGGAGGTGAGCCGCGGGGCCCTGATCCCAGCATCCGCGTCACTCTGCTCTCGCGGATCGTCTCCGAGTCCCGGGTGTAGCTCCGGAGGCAGGGTCCTTTTAGCGCCCGCAGGGCTGTACAGGAAAGGAGCCGACCCGCCGATAACCCTCAACCTGCACAAGTCCCAGGAAGCAGGGAGCACCCAGCGTTGGCAATTTCCATTCCTAGGCTTTGTGGGCAACAGTCCCCTGACCTCGGGGCAGGCCACGTGACCTCGTTGCACCCCCGGCCTGCGCACTGAAGGCGAGACTGCAGAATCCACGAAGCCCTGAGTATCTTCAGCCTCTGGGAGTCTTTGAGCCCCTTCCAAGTGGTGGTTCTCGAAGGCGGGTGATTTTGTCCTTAGGGGGGACCCTCGGCAATGACCTCTAGCGCTGTGACGCTGAGGAGGCGGTGGGGACCACAGACGCGCGGTGCACCCCGCACGTGCGTCCGCGGCGCTGAGGCCGACAGTCGCGGGGTGAAGATGCGGCCGCATTCGGAGCTCGTTCATGTGGTGTTAAGTCGGGGCTCCGGGTTGGATGCGGGTGGGCGCGGCGGGAGCGACCCTCCAGGGCTCCAGGAAGCCTCTGCTGCCTTCCCCGGACCTGTCGGGACCGCCTGCGCGGGAGGGATGCTGCGGGTTGCTGCGGGATGCTGCGGGGGGCGGGGCCGTCCTCCGTTGCCATGGCGACGCCCGGACCTCCTGGACCCGCCGCGCGGCGGCCAGCAGGTGGCGCTGCGGGGCCGGTGGCGGGCGCCTTCCTGCATCTCACAGGTGCGGAGCCCTCCTCCCTGAGACGGTGGGGGGTCCCGGACGCAGCCCCAACGTGCACCCTTCCCTGGGCGCCCTTTTCCGCTGGGTCAGCACCCCGAACCCCTTCTTCCTTCCCGTGCAAAGTCTGCGCTTAGCTGGTTTGGGCGAGACCATCGGACGCTCGGAGGCGTTGAGAACAAATTAAACATGAGGCAACGACCACAAAACCGCAGCACGGACCCCACCCTCTGCGCGCGCTCCCGCGACGGGGTCCTGGGTGCGACTCGGGCACGAGGTGGGAAGGCCTCCAGGTGCCCCCCGCCCCCCACGAGGGATGACCTCCGGGTGCCCCCCCGGCCCCCACGACGCGCCAACCCCAAGGAACGAGGGACCCGGACGACACGGTGCGGGGGGACGTGCAGGCCGCCCGCTGCCCACGAGGCCGAAGACCTCAGCACCTTGGCGCCTCCTGCGGCCGGAGTCGGAGTCGGGGCCCCGCTTGAGCGGGAGGAGGCAGGAAAGGGCGCTGCGTCGGCGACGGGACGGTCCCCAGAGCGGGTTCCGGCTCCTTTCCTCCCGCTCGACCCCTCCTTCCTCCCTCATTCGTTCATTCGTCCATTCGTCCTTCCTTCCTTCCTCTTTCTTCTTTCTTTCTTTCTTTCTTTCTTTCTTTCTTTCTTTCTTTCTTTCTTTCTCTTCCTTCCTTCCTTCCTCCCTCCCTCCCTCCCTCCCTCCCTCCCTTCCCTCCTTCCTTCCAAACATGACCTCACATTGAGAGACATCATTTGCTTTTCGGATGCACGGATGCTACTTTTAAAACAAGTCAGATTCACTTCCGAGGGTTTATTATTTCTATTTTGAGGGAGACGTAGACACAAAGCAGGGGAGGGGCAGAGAGCAAAGATCCCAAGTGGGACCCACGCTGTCAGCACACAGCCCGACGCCGGGCTCGAACCCACGAACCGTGAGATCATGACCTGAGCCCAAGTCAAGTCGGATACTTAACCGACTGAGCCGCCCAGGCGCCCCTGAAATTGCTTTTTAAAAACGTGTCATTTATAGTAACATCGTTCGCCCGGTGCCTGATCCGCCAGCCGAGTCACCCCAGCAGCTGGGGTCGGGGGGCTGGGGGTCGAGTCCGGGAAGCCAAGTGCATCGCTCTGGTCGGTGCGACGGAGCAGGTGTGTCGTGCACAGCAGGGGGCTCCCTCGCCTCGTTCATGTTCCATCTGCTGGTCGACCAGCCGGCCCTTCAGAAACCCATCAACAGATGTTGCTTTGATGAGACTTTCCTCCCTGGCGGCCTCCCCTGCCCGGTGAGGTGTCTGTGCCAGGAATTTACAACCCAAATGAGCCACGACGACACTTGCATTTCTCTCCCCTCCGCACCCCTGCCTTTGTCTCCTTATCACAGGCCTTCCTTTCTGTCTTCCGTTTTTGTGAGGAAATTGAGACCCAAAGACACGATCGACGCCGGCAATATTTATACATTTTGGAGATGGAGACGTGTGTGTGAAGAACGGACACGGCAAAAAGGAACACGGGTTTTAGGAGCTCTTGTTAGTAAGGAATTCTGAACAGAATTTGGGCCACGGCGGATTAGAAAAATGTAAGGTTTGGGGTACCCGGGGGGCTCCGTCGGTTGGGGGTCCGACTTCGGCTCAGGTCATGAGCTCGCGGTTCGTGGGTTCGAGCCCCGCGTCGGGCTCTGTGCTGACAGCTCGGAGCCTGGAGCCTGTTTCGGATTCTGTGTCTCCCTCTCTCTATGACCCTCCCCTGCTCCCGCTGTCTCTGTCTGTTTTTCACTAATAGATAAATAAACGTTTAAAAAAAAAAAGGAAACGACTCTGCAACTCACACAACACAGGTGGGTCCTGAAAACAGAAGCGAATCGGTTCCCGGCGGAAGGCGTCCGCGTTTGTCCGTATGGGAGAAAAGAGTAGAAAATCATGAGC